GATATTGGCGCTGGCGTATCGACTTTAACTGTGGTCGTTGTCATGGACATGTTAGCGGTTATGTGATATGTGTTTTATTTAAACTTTTATGCACATAAATAAAATCGTACATATGGCGGACTTAATGCCTAACGGACTTAATTATCAGGCTAAGAAGTCGTGTACAAGTAGCAGTTACCCCTGTTATTAATTCGTTCGTAAAATGCCGTTCACCTGTAAGAGCTTATGGATACGTTTTATAATTCAGTTTATTCCAAAATAATTTTGCTCACTTTTAGCAATCTCTAACCAAGCGGTAATTGTTGCGAATCAAACCTTATTGGACAAGTACAATGACCGCAATATCACGCGGTCGTCGATTTTATTGTATGGAATTCAAACGGTGTACGCAGTGTTCTTTCTATCCGACTGCCGCAGAAGGTGGGTAATGTTTTTCGAGTCTATGTATGTATACATCTATGTATGTATACCTATCTATTTCGATGCCACGATCTGTAGTCTTAACGGCTTGATGGTTTTTAACTATAGGTTTTCGTTAGATCCGTTTTAGTTGTGAAAGTGACATATGGTATAATATTTGAATTATTCTCTTCCGTAGTCTTTTTTACGGAGTCGAGATTTTTTTTAAATTACTCTCAACCATTGGGCTTGATATTGATAGTAAGTAAATACCGTGGCTAACAGATAGTAGACATCTAGGTGTGTTGCTAACCTTGAGGACTAAGATGGAATGTTTCGTCATCAACCGGAACCCTCCTTAGGTTTCAATATATTACTATTTTACGCTAGTATTCCATGAGAGCGGGGTCTTTTTACATTTGTAATCTACCCATAATAGATCTTCAGCGCAATACAGACAGCAGGCACACTTGTATCTGACGCGATGTTGAATTATCTGTAATTTCTATTATGTAGATATTAATATTTCGAGCCAGATTTAATCCACTTGAATAATAAAACAGTTATAACGTGTTACGCTGAATTACGTAACGAGATTGCTGTCAAACAATATTGCCAACAATGCTGTACCATTAGCAAGGTGTTACGGTAAACAATTTTATTTGCATCCTACAGTCTAGTGTTTGATTGTTATTTTTCAACACCAATTACTCTTGCATTGCATTGCACATGAGGTATTTTTTTTATTGAATAACTATGAAGCGATTCTGGGGATTCGATTAATCGAACTTATACAATTCGATTTATCGAACTTATAACAGTGGTAGAGCCACGCGGCAGCTTTTGCTGTCGCACGGATGGGCCGACTCGAACCGGGGTGGTACCACGACCTCACAGAAAACCAGCGTGAAGTAGAGGTTTACCTCTGCGTTTCGCTTGGTGAGTGCAGGTGGCCGGAGGCCCTTTTTACTGGAAATGAGGCATTCCATCTTAGTCCTCACGGGTGACAGCGCATCTACGTTTTGATTTGTAACAGAGGATAGATGTAGATGTCTATGGGCCGCAGCAACCACTTACCATCAGGTGGACTGTGTGCTCGTTTGTCACCCTTATCCTATAAAAAAAAAATACCAATTTGTATGAACTATACACCAGTTCGTATTATACTGTAGTAAACTGTATTTTAAAATAAAATTAGAGTTGAACAAAATGAAAACAACACGAATACTAGGTCATAGCTGTTTGTTGTTTTCAATTTTTGTACCGTCATCGGCACCTACTTAATGCGTCTGCAAAATTTCTAATTATGTATTCAGATGTACGGAAGTGGGTGAAAACTGAATTAAAAAGCTCATGATCAATGCGTTTTGTTTAATTTTTTACACTATATCAGCGTGATCTGTCTTTTCATATATGTATTTATGAATGTAATGGATATTGTAGTTTTTGTTTTCACCCACTTTCAAACGTCTAAAGTATCTAAAATTTTGCAAATGTATTAAGAACCGATGATAATACATTAATTTCATCGAATCTATATTTGTTTTGGAAAAGAGGGCCGTACGGGCTATTTATAACTTAAATTGTAATGAGTCCCTCAGAGAAAAATTTAAAGCAATAAACATATTAACTTTGCACCGCAATATATTTATGAAAATTGAATGTATGTACATAAAAACATAAATAGCTGTGATAAGAATAAAGATGTTCATGCTTTGAACACTAGCAACAAACATAAGCTTGTAATACCAGTTACTAGACTCCACAGAATTAGTAATAAATTTTTGGGGCAACGTATACACTCTTACAACAAAATCCTAGAAAATGAACAACAAAACTTCTCAATAAATAAGTTTAAATGTTTTATTAAAGAAAAATTGTACAAAAAGGGTTATTATAATATCAAAGAATACATAAGTGAAAAAAAAAATATTTGTACAAACAAAAAACAAAATTATTGTAGAGTGAAATATGTTTAAAAAAAGTCCCGCTATGTTTCTTGCTGGTTCTTCCCAGGACAGAGGTATTTTCTGAGGCAGTTGTAAATAAAAAAATGACTTCAATAAGTATTATGTAATAATCTATATTGAATAAAAATTATTCTATTCTATTCTATTCATGACCATTAGGAATTCTCAATTGGATCAGCCCAGTCCCAGCCCATTATCACAGCGTGATGATTTGGTGTTTTATAATAATAATAATATTACACTTATTATATGGTGGACGGTCGTGCATGGAGTATTGCTGTCATATATGGGTTGGTGCAGCAAAATGCCACCTAGCAGCTTTGGACTTAATGGAAAGGCGTGCTAAGACGCTTATTGGTGACCCGAATTGGGTTAAAATCAATCTTACCAGACTCAAACACAGACGCAAAGTAGCCAGCGTTTCAGTTTTCTACTGGATACATTTTGGAAAGTGTGCGCAGGAATTGCATAATCTAATTCCTCCCTGTCCCTTCCATCATCGGAAAACCAGACGTTCGGCCAGTCTCCATCCTTTCCCTTTCGTTGTTGACTTGCCACGCATTCGAATCAAACGGTTCGCTACGTCGTTCATCATGCGTACAGCAAAGGAGTGGAATAAATTGCCAGCATATGTCTTTCCATCCGATTACAGTGTGGGTGTCTTCAAGGCAAGAGTGAATAGACTTTTTTTTTGTTATTTGCTCTTTATTGCATATATTTTTTCTTAATTGCGCTTCACCATCTTAGGCTACATCACCACTTACCATCAGGTGGGATCGTAGATAAGCGCTGGATTAGTAAAATATAAAAAAAAAAACTACGTTTCTTTTGCCGTTGGTCGTTACTCTTATACTTAATAACAGAGATTTATGGTTTTGATTTTACGAGTTGTGCTTTCACGTTCCTTCCAATGATATCTTGTTAAGTAGGTAACTAACAGGGAAATTTATGTGGAATTACCATAACCTAACATCTATTAATAGGTGCTAAATAATCGCGTCATGCATTGGTTCATCATTGGCAAGTTATCAATTGATTTCTGTTCTATGGTGGCATGGTTATTGTGTGCTGTGTTTTGCAGATTTTACAATTATATTAATTTAAAAAATAAAGGATAGGAAGTTTTTTTTTAAAGTATTAAGTGAATATAAAAATTTGAATTCTGGGTATCCGGCACCACTAGTTGGTGGTCTGGGAACCGAAATATTTTGATGGGTCTCTGCTCCCTCTCAAATAGAGAGAAGACTTTTAGGAGACAGTGGGACTTTTACAGTACCGTTCTTTTCTTTGTTATACGAAAGAACCGTGGTAGCTCAGAACTAGACGGCTTTTTAATTTTATTATTAGGTATGTGAGCGATTAGAATATTACTATCTTCGACGGCGCTAGTGAAATTGCTAATAGTTTTTTTTTTATTGGAGAGGGGGCAAACCAGCATGCGGCTCACCTGATGGTAAGTGACTACCGCCGCCCATGAACAACTACAACACCAGAGGAATTGCAGATGCGTTGCCGGCCTTTTAAAAATGAGTAGGCTCTTTTCTTGAAGGTCCCTAAGTCTTATCGGTCCGGAAAAATCGCTGCTGGTAATCGATTCCACAAGGAAGTTGTGGGAGGAAGAAAACTTCTTATAAATCGCACAGTGGTCGGCCGCTAATCCAGACGGTATGGATGGTATTGCGAGTTTGGCGCGATGTGCGATGGAGAAATTTATTGTTTAATTTGAATTAGTCCGAACAATTCCTCAGAGCACTCCCTGTGATAAATGCTATAAAATACGCAAAGAGATGATTGAGTTTTCTAATGTATTCGTATTGGAGGATTTCTGCTTCATAAACTCTTTGTGGAATCGGCTACCATCTACCATCAGAGATTTTTCAATAACGATACGACTTAGAGACCTTCGAGAAAAGAGTAGAATCGTTTTTAAAAGTCCCGCAATGCACCTCCAATTCCCCTGGTGTTGCAGTTGCTCATGGGCCGCGGTAATCACTCACCAGGTGAGTCGTATGCTTTTGCCCCCTGTTATGTAAAAAAAAACTTCTCAAAAATGAGAGGAAGCCTAGGATAAAATATGAAACTAGTTACTGTACCATTAAAGTCGCTAAAAAGTTTATATCATTGAGTTTACTTTGTTAATATTGCATTTGATTATAGCAAAGACCTTGTAATGTTTTTTCTTATTCTATGTAATGTACATAGTACATGCAACGCACAGTATCTGATTTGACGTATGATTTTGAACTCAACTTTAAATTTTAACTTTATAACATAAGATAGAAATAAAATTAGTTTATAATTATTCTTAGGTTTTAAATAGTGTATATGGCATTTAATGTAGAAGTCCGTACTTTCTACCTACTCACCCCTCTGGGTGACCGGCGCGATTTTGTGTTGTAAGTTACTATTAGATACGTAAGCCTATTAATACAGTAAATGCAGTTAATGTAATAAACATGCAATTCCTAGCACCAGCCTCACCGTTTTTTTGACAAAATAATTGAATTGAATTGAAACCGCTATATATACGAAAATAAGTTCATGATATAAAAGTGTACAGTAGAGAAGATTTAGCCAAATAACTATTAACTAAAAAATAAATAAATAGGCTGTGTAACGAAATACTTTCAGAGACAACGGTAGCGAAGCGTCCACGCGCGAGGCCGAAGAGTGCGGTTGCGGCGAACCTGCCACTTTGTACCCAGACGCGTCCAACAATAATGGCAAACCCGTGGCCAATCATTGCTCGTAAGTAACATGTTTGGCCACCACACACATATTCGATCGTTCATTTGCACCATTATTTGGTCAAATCATTTATAGCACACCTTCGATTTCATCACTGCCTTTAATTTCGTAGTTTTTGGTGATGTATTTCATCCGATATATGATCCATCCCATAATGCTGTCAGTAAAATCCAGTTAAGGGAAATTCTTGCGCGCCTGCAGCGCGTTTAGTACAAAATATAATATTATGATTGCTTGGAAGAATTGAACGAAATTTGATGTGAAACGTCTATTGGCGCGCCTTGGCAGTAAAACCGATTCGTATGGGGGAGTCCATTAATTCGAAATGATTCGAATCTCATCCAATCTCACGTGGAGTAGAGGATGGGTCTCGGCAAATATCATGTAACTTTTTCCGTAAGAAACAGTATAAAATTGCGACTTAACTGGAATTAGAACAATCGCCTGGACGCCCCCTATGCCGGGCAAACGGCATGATACTACGCCACCGCGCTCGAGCTCTCGACTCCTTATGTGCGTGCGCATATACTATACTTGCACTTACTTACACTACGTTGCTTCTCTGTGTGAGTTAGGTACTGCGTGTGACTTTCTATTGGACTATTAATTGCACGGTTTAAAGACCTATAGTACTCGTATGTTTGACGCGCGTTCACAGCTTATTTATTTTATTCCATATTTCGTTATTGGTTTTCATTAATTATAAAATCTACCATCAACTATAATGATGTTTTTTCTCAATTGCGTATTCTGTAGTGCATTTTATTTAAGTGACAACTGCTCTCTTAATCTTGTAACTTATTTTTTATCACTCTGTAGTCTATACTCACAGCATGTGTATGTGACTGTATGTGCTAATAATTTCTCGAATAAGCTATTAAATATATTATTTATTATTATGTATATCTTTATTATAAAGTTTTAAAAGTAATTTACCGAGTTTGCATCCCGCATCCTTCAACATTAGACTAGTATCGCTTAAGGTATACATCTTTTAAAGAAGTAAGGGTCTCAAACAGGCTCAAAGTTTACCTAATGGTAAGTGAATGCTGTAGCCCATAGGCCAATGTCTTCGACTAAGAATCAAAATTCAGATGCATCATCATTATTTTGTCCGTGCAGCTTGGGTCATAAATCATCGGAGTATTTCGCTCTCTCTCCCACTCACGGGCCTTAGGGGCGAGCATAGTGATGCGCATTATTGTTGTCGATAAACTTTATTATATAGTGTACTTAGTTTTTTCATTATGTGGGTTAGTGATAAAATGAAAAAAAAAATAAAACAACGTATTTATTAAAATAAGAATAATAGTGATTGAAAATAAATTATTAAGATAATAATAATAATAATAATAATAATAATAATAATAATGATTTCTTATATTTACGCGAACACTACACATTGAATAAAACTACTTTTACGGATTTTATCGCGTTTAATTAAGTTATTTTATATTCCCGACGTTTCGGTTGGTTTCCAGCAACCGTGGTCACCGGGGACTGAGGTGATTGACGTCCCGATGTCAAAGTTAACCCGGAGTACCTTCAGCTTTTTAATTATTAATTTTGGTCCGATCTACGCAGAATGAACTAACTGTGTCTTGAAGTCTTACAGTAGTATGCTTGGGTTTAGTTTTAATTTTATGAATTACAGGATCGCAAGCAGGTGGTAGTACCCAGCCTCCCTCTCTATTGAAGTTAGGATGTTTTTTAATTTCAATAGTCTCACGTATCACCCTTGGCAAGAATCGATGTTCTTTCGCGAGAACTTGTGGTTTATCAAATCTAATGTAATGGCGGGGGCCGTCTAGGATATGATCACAAACTGCAGACTTCCCGGAACGTTGGTGCTTCACGTCAGCTATGTGTTCTTTTACGCGGGTTTTTATTGATTGTTTTGTTTGCCCTATATATGAGAGACTACACTCACAATCAAGCTTGTATACTCCTGCATCTTGTAGAGGAATATTGCACTTGACGGATGGTAAGAACTGACTAATCTTCTTCGGCGGCTTGAAGAATGTTCTAATAGAAGCTCGCTTCAAGATGTAGCCAATCTTGTCTGTGACACCTCTGACATATGGTAGTACAGCAGGCACACGCTCGACTGTGGCCGGCTTCACTCGGTCACTGTGATGTAGGCGCGGAACCCGAAGCTTGTTGTCGTGCAGAACCTGCTTGACGTGCTGAAGCTCGGCGGCCAGGTGTTTGCTGTCACAGATCCCTCGTGCTCTCTGCAACAAAGATTTGCCCACGGTAGCTAACTGTGAAGGGTGATGGTGTGATTCACCGTTTAAGTATCGGTTTGTATGGGTCTTTTTTATATACACAGTGTGACACATCATTTTATTTTATAACGCGGAGTAAATTTTTCTAAAAGCTTTTATATAATGGATTTCTGCAAAGTAACGCCTGATTCTATTAATTATAAATATAAAGATAATAACTTATATCTAAAATTAAATCTAAAACTATTTACATTAAAATTCTACATCAGAATCATCAGGGTCATCGTCATCCACATGAATTACGATATCTTCTGCCAGATGAGATTTCTTCAAGTCTTCCTCTTGGAGTTTTTCTGCATGCTCCACACAATCTTCCCAGTTCTTTTGCGAAACGTTTGAAATTGCTTCATGCAGTAACACTTCGACGTCTGCAATTTTAAAAGTGCTATTTTTGGTGGCAACTTCATTTTTTGCTTGATCCCATACCAACTCAATTGGGTTATATTAGCAATGGTAAGGTGGTAAGCGAATCACCTCGTGTCCTGACTCCAAAGCTAACTGATCCAATTTGTATATTTTTTCTACCTGCCGTGCACCTGCCTTCGATGATTCATTTGTTGTTATCGATAATGGCGTTGCGCCCGCGCAACATGCTCACCGCCCTAGCCGGGCTGAGGCCGAGCTATGATTTATGACCCCCAACTGCACGGAGAAAATAATTTTACTATAGTACAAAAAACCCTCCAGTTCTTTTCATTCATCAACTCATCATACTCGTTATATGCATGGCATTCTGTGCACATATGGTCCTTCCCCATTCGAGCAGATCCATCCGTGCTGTCGTGATCCAGATTTTGCTAATATAAATCAATGAGAAAGATTTCAGAGTCATATTATGGTTGTAGCGCGAATGCGTCGGCTGGAGCGGGGAGGGATAATGCTCTGAACCGAAGCCCCTTTTTACTGAAAACGAGACATTCCATCTTTGTCCTTAGGGATGAAAACACATCTAGATTTCGATTCTTAATTGGATGATACATGTCTATGGGCCCAGGGGCGGATCTACTTAAAGGCTTTTTGGGCTGCAGCCCAGGGCCCCGTGAATACAGAGGGGCCCCAACCGAACTGAAACCAATAGACGATATTGTCAATAATAAAAATTATCTAGAATTTAAAAAAATCCGATCATAAGGTTGGCAACACTACGATCAATCAACCCGTGTGCGCATCTATCAAACGGAACGGGGAATTCCCTGTCGCTTGTTTTCGATCGCTGTATTCCGTGTATTGTCTATTACTGGGGTCTTCCCTCCGCTTATCGCCCGACGCAATTTTGTTATTTTTCCGCACTTCTGCTATCGTCGACTAAGTATATTAACGAATTGACTTTGTTATTGTTAGAAGTGTGTTTACTGTTTAGTGCGTGTGTTTAGTTTACTAAGTGATAGATAACTTAAAAGTTATAAGGACCGGACTTTTCTTTTAATTTACTAAAATTGAAAGTGTTCAGCATAACTAGACTTCCTGCTTTTAATAGGCAGTAGGTAAGTAAAAAGAATTATAAAACATGACTTTTTTATTTTTATTTCAGTTTCAAAACTAAATGAATCGAACTCGTTCGATATTACGAACGAACGAACGGTTTCGTGGCAGTTTTAGATACATGGCCACTAAATGTTGGAACAATATACCACCACCTATACGGGAAACTAAATCTGTAAACGGTTTTAAAGCTAAATTAAAAATACACCTTTTAGCATCTCAAAAGTCATTATTTCACGTGTAGTGGCAGGTTATTTCATAGATACATAGATACATCATATATATGGATATATGTGTATGTTTAATTTTAATATAATTTACAATACTTTTATGTATATACTTGGAAATATTTACTTTCAGTGAATGGTAAATTCATTATTTTTCGTTTATGTTGTTATCGATATAGTCGCGGGCGCAATACGGAATCAATATTTATCAGGGCTCCGCTGAAAATCAGCGCTGCTGCAGTATCTGTGGTAGCATATGCTGAGACGGAATCCTTTTGGCATCACATCACTCACTCTTGTTGCGATTTATTTTATTTTTATTTATGTTTTTCAACTACTTTGTATGTTTTTATGTCTCATTATTTCTAAATGTATATTTTGTGTGTGTATTGATGCTAATAAACATATGTCTATGTCTATGTCTATGTCTATATTTAATGATAATTTGGGAATTGCTACACTCATTACAAAGTAGGTATTAAAATTAAAAGTTCTATCCAGTTCTTTGTTTATTTTCAGAAAAATATCTTATTTTACAGTATGTCTGCTAGAAAATATAAAAGTGGAGCTGAAAAAAGAAAATTACAGTTTTGTCGAGAAAAAGAAATAAATAAATACGCAAAACTTGAAACTTTTTTTAAATCAGAACATATAAACGCGAATGAAATAGCTATAAATCCATTAAAAAACGTAAAGGAAGGTATTTTATGCGAAGAGAGTATAACCGAAGGAAGCAAAAAACCGCAAAACCAGAAAAAAAATACCAACGATGAAAATATACAATATCTTGACTTCGAGCAACCCTCTGGTTCCTCTGAAAACGAAATTGGTGTTCAGCAAAAGAAAGGTAATACCGATACCGAGGTGGAAAGAAATTTAGAAAATATTAAGTTTGAGTTTGAGAAATATGTTGACGTGGGCTTGTGGCCAGATTTGCTAAATAATGATTTTATTAATTTCGTCCTCTCACATGAAATGACTGACTTTCAAAATAAAGATCCGA